TTCTGCAACATCAAAGTCGCAAAAAATCTTTTATAAGGTGACGCTGCATAACAAGTTTACCACTATGCACATATCTGCTAACGTTTCCAATCGCATTTGATTCATCATGAGAGCGACACCCCACAATGCAAAAACAATGCTACAGTATAGAAAGTACAGTCGAGTAGCAAATGCGTTACAGAGCTTTTAACCTCGACAGTGGCAGCTGCTTCTTAAATTGGTTTCAATGAGAGCTTATGTACAGGCCAACATTCCTGTTAGTGCGATGACTGGACTTAATGGCAAGGAGCACCTTTATCTTGCAGCTTCATTTATCTCCTGGGCGCAGTGAAAGGGTGGCAAAAAATCGGCTTGGAATTCCGCAACTGCCGGTAGCGAAGCCCAAAAAATGAAATATATTTCTCTTAACTGCCTTTGAGCAAGGAATTCAAATCTCGCCGTTCCGAAAAATGGCAGCAAGTCATATGGGCAGGGACAGAATGGCATTCGGGTATAATTACCCCAGAACAGGTGAGGGATACGATAGTGCTAGCCGATGCGCACGCTTCTCAGGCTGCAATTTGCGTTGACTAACCTGACAGTTGACCATCCAACGTAATAATCAGAACAAGACGTAAAACCGAAAAACTCTTACCGCGGGGCAATCCAGTCATTTTATCCTATAAAACGCAGTGTTCTTGTACTGCATATTCCACAGCTAACAAGTTCTTTACGCACTACTTCTTAACCAGCAGCGGATGTTGCGTTTGTCTCCTTACAGTGCGTGAACAATCTGGCGTGGTAGCGCTGCGCCACCACACCACATTGCCACGTTGTTCACTCCTAGTCTGTTCAATGGTGCTTCCAATTTCTCATCATACTTCAGCCCGCACTTCCAAGGTAGTGTCAATCTAGCTTCAGTGATCGGATTTAAGCTTGTTGGCTTTCACATGCATCCAGTTGGCAACGTAAGGTTGATCTTGACCAGAATTTCAGTCGTATTTTTCTTAGTTCCCGATGACCCTTTGCAGGTTTGCCTTTACTGGTTACCTGTAGGGAAAAACAGTACCAGCACTAAATTTCTGTTCATCGTTTTTAGTTTTCACCCAGTTACTCTGCTTCGACTGGTTGCAGATCACTTCGATCAATCATCCAGGGCAGCCACTATTTTCTACTGCTTTCAGAGACTGTTGGTCAACACTTTTTGAATACTATTATCGTCTGTGCTTAGATCGAAGCAAACACTTACTACAGTGCTAGCAACGCCTTTAATCACCCCATATGAATTGGAAGTGAATGGCAGATTTATTCGTTTGTGCTGACTTATTAAACAGCTCCGGGACATATTTCTGGTGATAATTGTTAAAAAAATATTGAGTACCTGGTTTGCTCAACTGCTATAGTGAATATTATTTTTCCAGGTCAGAGGGCATTGGGATGATCTACGAAGAGTTTTTCTGTACCTTCTTCACATATGGCGAATGTCATCAGCGTATAGTACCGTATAAGTGTTTATCAGTGTTTCTTGATCTTTTGCAAAGAACTTCGCTGGAACTGAAAACAACTAAGAACCCAAATTAAATTGTTTTGAAAGCTTTTAATTCTGGGTCCATAATTCATCAACAGACTGTTTCCTGGGGGCATGGTCAAGGAAACAGAGAAGAAAAACAAGTTTCTCTAAGTGAACGCACTTCATTTCAAATAATGGTAACATCATCAAGACTAAAAATGGTTCAGTTCTGATGTTATCTGTGTTGGCAACGAAACACGTCAACTGCCAGAGAAACTTTTCCGTCTGTTTTAAGTTTGGGTTTCCTACCGTGTAACAAGAAAACAATCCGCTAACCGCCATTCTTTTGATACAGTTTCCACTGAACATGAAAAAATAGCTGTAATAAAACAATGACAGATTCCCTGACGATTGCAAAATAATGTGTGAATAAACTCAATGGTTGAGGAACATACAGTACAAGAAGAACACAGCACATTATAAGATAAAATGCCTAGAATATACATCTTTGTCTTCATAATCGCTTCTCCTTTCGGGTCGCAGCTGCAGTCGCTGGAATACACTATGAAAAGAATTTCTTGTGCTGGAAAAAAAGAAAGCATTTGCCATTCAGTCTATGCAATGCACGAAACTAATCTGTAATTAAAACAAAGCCATGAAACAGCAACCATTATCGAAGTCAATAGCGCTGTAATGCAGTTGCTATTTGATTTTGCTTACTTTACGGTAGAAGTATTTTTGCACTATTTATGTTGCTCCCTGAACACAGATCGAGTATGACTTGAAACCCTAGAGAATATGTACATAGTACTCATGCTATGCAATGTCATTCTGTAAACAAGTAAAGAAGTTTAGCAATTTTGAATATTACTCAACCATTTCACTTAAACTCATATAATACAAAATATGGCCAGGAGAGATAACCTATTTTCAGTAGAGTACTGCTGGCGAATTTGATCTAATTCAAATATGACAACGCCTGTACCTAAGAGCCATATCCTCCAAAGAAGCATCAGCCAGCTCCCGTAAACTCTGCAGAAGTTCAGAATCCGTTGGAGAATCGACCGGCATTCTGCTCAGCGTATCTGCATCTGGCACCTGGCAGGCATGCATCGATCCCGACTGCAACACTTTGGGGTGATCATCGTTCCCCTTCGGTATGATCTTGATATCAGACCCTGGTTTGATTTGGTCAACGAGCGAAAGCGGGTTGACGTGCGTCGCGGTAACGATGCCGGCTCTTGAGAGGCTTCCGTTCTTAGGAACGGCAGCGATCTCATTTCTGAGGATGTTCAGGAAATCGCGGCTGTATATCGACCGCTTCTCCCAAATTCCGACAATGAGGCGCAAGGTGGCTATCGCTTGCGGGTCCATGTACTGCTTGGCACACACCATGGCGCCATGAATGAAGTCCCTAAAGTTGTCCGCGAATGTTTGATACTTACGACGGCTATTCTGAATCATATCGTCAGCGAGACAGAAGAGAGCGAGCAACCGGTCGGACCGTTTTTCTCGTTGCACCTGCCGGTACCACAATTGTACGATTTCCGCCGCGTGCTTTCGGTGGTGCAGTAGCCAAAGAGAAAGAGCCTGGATGCAGGCCTTCGTCATTTCCAGTTCTTGCAGCTTTCTTTGTATGATTATTTCCGGAAATGAAGCCATGCTCAGAGTACAACTGATTAAATCTAAAACTCATACATGTTAACAAAACGCTGTCTGTCATTGTAATTATAATTATCAGAAATGAACTCGCAAAAGTCTTGAATAAATGTCGTTTAAGACTCTGAATTCGAACTATTCATAACAGGTCAGATCATAATTATCACTGATTCTGTGCACTGCAGCAAAAATAGACGTATATATAAGGGCACGGCGAAAAGGGCCTCGAACCATTTCTTTAAACTGATCAACCAAAAATGATCATCAGAGAAAAAATGATTACTTCCGAGATTACTTATCTATCAGTTCCTCAACAGAAAAAATTTAGCCGAATGCAAATCATTACAATATTTCAAAAATGGACATTATCGATGTGCTAAAATTGAACCCACAACAGAATCAGAAACCAGCCTTGAAGAAATCGGTCTATGGACTGGTTATTTAGACTGACACTTCACAGTACGATGACAATTACCCTCGTTTCACCTCGATGTGAATCATCGCCACACAACGCGAACCTTTGCTGATGTCTGCTGACTGAACCATAATTGTTCCATTGTAACTACGCATCATTCAGCCGCTCTGAACTCGGTGCAGTCATTATTAACAGTTTCAATTCTGGAAGCTACAATCAACGGCTTGATCCGTCGAAATTCACGCGACTGTGAACTGATGCATTACTGCTCACTGAGTTCTTTAACTTGGAACTCGATACTGATCTTTCGAAACCATCCATTTTTACATTCAGTATCCATTTATTCCATAAATATTACATGGTTGTTGGGATGATTTCTTAGCGAACGGCGGGGAATCAATGGAAATGAGTGATTCCCGCTCGCAACTTATCAGTTAACTACAAACCAAAAAATTTGTCACCAGCAGTCAACATCACAAAAGTCAAATTCGGTGCTGCATGTTAAAACGTTTGCTCGTTGCCTGGCGAAGGTAATTTATAAGATGTCTGAAGATCTGCTCGTCGGTACAAACTCAATATCAGCGGTCATGTAAAGTCGCCTCCCGGTGAAGGGGACGCTTGACTTGCAGGATGGGTGGTCACACCACAGGAGATTATGCTGCATTGGTGTAGGCATCCTCTATTTCCCTACAGTTAGTTAGGCAGTCACTTCGGTGGAACAGGTGTCAAAGAGAACTTTGGTCTGTCTCGAAAATATCAAGCAAGCGACATTAAATGTCATTCTAGCCCATTCCCGGGGAATAAGTCGAATGACAGTGAAAAGGACGCTTCATGTAACTGCATGCAGTCAGCTGTAAGCTTGTGTCACGTCATAACATCAGAATTGTCAAATGGAGCTTCAACACGAAAGTGAGCGCCGAGTACAGCACAAGACCAAGCATAATCGTATCGACATCGTTAATGACTACAGCAGGCGTCTGTTAAGCTTGTGCACCACAAACAGCTTCGTTCTCGGCGGGTCCCTTTTTCCTCATAAGCGTACTCGTCAAACCACGTGGACATTTTGACTGGAAACATAAACACCTAACTAGACCAAGTACTTATCAACAGAAAATGGCACAGCTCGCTACTTGAAACTCGCGTCAGGCATGACGCATGCAATCGGTCTGATCATCATATGATCATAGCGGAACTTCGTTTAAAATTAGTCATGTCTGATCGACGCCATCCCTGAAACGCATCAGCGGCTCTACGTTTACAAACTAAAATATGACAAAGCGTTGCGGTCGGTGTAATAAAAAGAGTTAGAGAATTATTTTAATCCACCTTTAGTGCCCAATCGAAAAGTAGCAACGTCATGAAGCAAACAAAGACTTCGAAGGAGCCGTGATTTCCTCGGTGAACGTAGTTAACATCAAGAAAAGATGAGCCAAACTGTACTGGGTTACGCAGAAGACCAGGAGAATCAGGCAAGGAATGAGTGCTTGCAAAACCCTGCCGCACCATCGAAGGCAGCTCACCGCCATCTCTTTCGCGCAATCTAGCAGTGCTACAGGCAGGGCGAGGAACTTTGGCTGGAGAAGGAAATCGAGATAACCGTCAATGAAGACAGAAAGGGCGACTGGCGAACAGTACTCAAAGGGATGCAACAACTGACCGGTGAGCAGTGAACTCGATCTGTTCATATGTAAGAACCTAAGGGTACCCCACTGGCAGGTAAGAAAGAATGTTTCAGATGCTGGGTTGTGCATTTTCAGCAGTTGCTTACACGGCTGTACTACAGGTTTGTCATTTCTGACCGTTAATTTTTTGCCAACACTAAAGGCAGGTACAGAACCACCTGATAAACTAGAAATCCAAAAAGCCTTGACAAAACACTCTCAAGATAAAAAAGGCCTGCGGGATCGATCGAATTACTCTGGAGCTACTTAAGTAAGAAGGAACGTGAAGGGTAGGAAAGCTTCATTCAGTGTTTCATTAAACGCTGACCCGTAAACGTTTCCAAAGAGAATGGAAGTGTGGAGTAACTACCTCTTACCTGAAGGAGGTCCAGTGACCGAATCACCTATCGTGGTGTCACACTACTGTCAACTCCTGAAAACTTTTCTGCTGGATAATCCTGG